CCAGCTAGCTCCTTTGTCACCTGACACTGCCATCTGGAGCCTGGAACCAACCCCCTGGGCTGCTCTGCCCTGGCTTGAGTTGTGTTCTGGGGTGCACATGCAGATGCTACACCTGGGAGCAGCTGACTTCAGTATGAACTGTGTACCAGTTTAAAGTTGGAGTAACTGCATGTGTAGATGTGCCCATAGATACCTATTCATTTGTCACAATGCTAAGCAAGTATTAGAACAAACTCAAGCTGGGAGCTTTCCTTATTCTAGTTAATATTAACTGCCTTTGAGAAACCAAAGAATAAATTCACTTATTGAGCTTGTAGTGGTAGAACCAAAAGGAATCTTGAAGGGATAATGGTGTATTGTTTTTACCAATAGCTTTCCTCCAATGAAGCTATTATTTTACTGTAATAATATATTAGAATTGACAAGTGGAATAATTGAAAGATAAAAAGAAGCTTAGTGGTGATGTGTTTTCTTTGTTCCTGGGAAAGCTTTCCAAGCCAAAAATCAGCAACTGTTACTGTAGTTGGAAAGCCCTTATGCCATTTAGGCATCTATCACACTAGAAGTCTGTTCCCAGATTTGACCTGCTTATTCATTTAGTTGCCAGAATACCAGGCATCTTGGCTCTAAATTCTAATACCTGAGTTAGACAAACCTGAACTATGATCTGTTTACCCTGCTTTAAATCAACCACAATTTTTCAGTCTGACTCCACTACGAGTTCAAATTTTTCCCTCCTATATGCAAGCACATAGGAGTAGCCTTAGAAAAAGGTGTTTTCTTTACTATCCAGTCCTGTGTGTTGTTTTGTCCCTCTTGCTTCTTCTCCCTCCATTATGTTTCAGTACTTGAAAGTAGCTATTTCTAGCCCCCCCCCATTTTAACATATTGTTTTAACAGTACCATTTTAAGATATTGTTTTATTATGGCAATTCCTTTATCTTTATCTAGTTGTACTTCAGAGCAGCTTGTAGAACCACTGGCTAGGGTTCTAGCTTAGAGGAGAGCCAACTAAACTGTGTAAGCCACAGAAAGTTAGCTGGCCTGTGGAGAGAGACCAACTCTTGAAAAAGATCAGAGACACCATGAGGTAGACTTTCTTTAGAGAAGCATACACAAATACAGACTGGAGAATGACTGGCTAGGCTACACTATACAGAGAAGGACCTGGGGAGTACAGTATACCATAAAACTGAATGAGCCAACAGTGTGCTCTTTGTGATTAAAAAAAAAGCAAACAGTATGCTGGGCTGTATTAATAGGAGTGGAACTTGAAAATGAACTGAAGTTATTTTTCTGCTCTAATCAGCACTAGTGAAGCCTCACGTGGAATACCGTGTCCAGTTTTGGGCTCCATACTTCTAAAAGGATGCAGACAATTTGGAAAATATCCAGCACAGAAACAATGATTAGGAGCCTGGGAGAAAAGGCTGAAAGAACTGGGGTCAATTTTGCTTGGAAAAGAGAAGTCTGGGGAGGGAGGGGGATTTGATAAGTCTTCAAATACCTGAAGGGTGAATACAGAGCAGATGGAGATGACCTTTTCTCTGCAACTGTAGGGGACAGGACTAAGAGCAAGGGCCCCCAAGCTGTAGCAGGTGAAATTTAGCTTGGAGATTAGGAGGAACTTTCCAACTCCTAGAGTGGTCAAGCTTTGGAATAGGCTGTCTAGAGAAGCTGTGGATTTTCCATCCCTGGAAGTTTAAGAACAGGTTGAACAGATACTTGTCTGGGATAGTTTAGTCAGGGAGCCTTGAGCAGGGGGCTGCACTAGATCACCTTGTGAGGTCCCTTCCAGTTGTACTTTTCAATAATCATATGACCCAAGCTTTGTGGCTGGGGCACTAGATTCCTTGGATTGGCATGCGTGAAGGGGACTGTAAGCCCTTTCCCCCTGCAAGGAAGAAAGGTTAATCAACATTTAAAATTAAAATGACCTTTTTGGTTCTCATCATCAGTACCAGTCACTTCTAAAAACAAAATACATTGTGCCATCTTAACTGTCTGGTATAGGCAAGTTGAGATACAACCCCAACTGTTTACTTACCATTCCTGTCCCTTCCCCCTTTCTAGGTAATGGGATGAAGTGGTGGTATATAAGACATGAGTAGTCAGTCTGTTTGGAGTTTCAGTAATTAGGTGACAGAGCCGGGTCATTCAGTTTGCGATTTTGGAAGTTGACTAATAAAGACCCATGTTGCCACCTTAAATTTTATCGTCAGTTTTAGCCTTATCCATTTGTAAGTGCATGTAGTTAGAGTCAGATTGTCTAGTGAGAGTCAGCAAGTGCTGACTATTACATCCAGTCATTCTCTCTCTCATTAGTGGGAGACTGTCTGAAGCTGAAACACAGGAGTATGCTTTCAAAATGCTGTAGCATTTGTAATTCTTTTAAGAAACTAAATACACCCATACTTCCATTAACAGCAGTAGAGATGAATTTGTGTCTTAATATACTTAGGATGCGATTCTGTGTTCCACCCAGAAGATCTAGTGTAGTCCCATAGCCCATTGATAATTCCTTTTACTGTCGATTGTACTGAAGAACACCTTAAGAATTTTTTCAAATGAAATGCCAGAACTCTTCTACTGCTTCTAAGGCTACACCTTTGAGCAAGATTTATTCAGGCTATCAGGTACTCTGCTACTTCAGCAACAGATTTATACAGTAGTGGGTAGTAAAGTAAAATGGTTTTGATCTTAGTTAAGCTACGATAAAATAAAAGCTAGCTGAAAATTAACTCATGTTAGCTGAACCAGTATTTCTCCACTGTTATGGAATATTGATAGCTGAGAAGCAAGCCTAACTCCAAAAACCACTACCAAAAAAGTTTTGCTGTACAATATTCCTCTACCAGTTATTCCCTTACCAGCAGTTGGCATTCTGATGTTTTAAATTTTCACACAAAAGGGTCAGTTTTACTATGTTGGGATGAAGTTTATAATTTTTACTTTGAGCAATGTGCCTATTTGAATGTGGAGCTAGGAAATTTTGCCTTGAAGATTAATAGCACTTTTGATAAGACTGTATCTTCAGCTGAGAGTTCAGTTGTCAGTATGAGACAGGTGAACAATTTCTTGTTAGCCATTGAGGGATTAGGGTAAGAATTGTTACACTTGTGAGAACTTAAGGTTTTTTGTATTAGTCACAACTTAAAAAAATTTTTTTTTGAGACTTGGTTTAGTTTACTTCAATTGTAGTAATACTAGGAGAGATACAGAATGCCAGACTGAAAATTGCTTCCCATACATTTAAGGAACACTTTATCTGTTTCTGTTAACTCAGTAGTACCCTTAATATCTCAACCTTTTTCAAATTCAGTGGGAAAGGTTTTAAAATACCCAAGCATAAAACTGATACGTGTTACCACATGACTATGTACTCTATGGTAACTTGAGTAACCATTTGTTTCCAACAGGATTCAGTGCAAATTACTGCTAAAACCATTTGAAGTGATTTAGCAGACTTCTAAACAAGCAACAGATGCTTAAAGCAATCTGCATTTGATCTGAGAGTTTTAGGGGACTACTACTTTAGGGAAGTAGCCCATTAGTGAATAGCCTGTCTAAGATGCTGAATGCAGTGTTGGGTATGGAATCTGAAAGCCAATCTCCTAGCAGAGCTTGAAAGAATCCTTTTAGTAAGGGCTGCTAAATCTAATGTAGCAGATTAGATACCTTCCCTGCTTTTAAAGGGGTACATGAACTACTTGAGGTCCATATACTACTTGAGGTAACGGGGCCCTCCCAGGGCTGATTAGGAGTTGGCCCATCCCTGTTTCTGGGCTAACTGCCCACCTCTCTTGCTTGCCAGGCTTTGATGGAAAATGATTATACTACCCAGGTAAGAGGCTGCCCTTTGGCAGCCCTGTTCTCCTGGGCCTATGAATGCAGCTCCAACCACCCCTGTACTACATCCCAAGCCTTGCAGATGACACTCGCACCACAACTGGTGCTCCTGGGTCTCACGCCCTCCCTGGAGCAGCAGGTCATTGTGCTCGACCTTTATGTCTTTCTTTTGACCCACATTCAGCCTCCTTGCAGTGGAGGACTTGCTGGGGTCAGGAATCACCCCCAACTCTCTGGCTGAACTGACCCCCCACCCTGCCACTTGGCCTCTCACCCAAACTATGGCCTCAGGCATCCATGAACATAGCTTCGCCTCTTCCCCACACATGGGGTTCCCACTATGCCCACTCTAGGGCCTCTACACCATGTCCCACCCTGGGTATCTTATCCTCACAATCAACTACTCCCCAGGCTGGCCCTTGTGCTGCCCTTCAGGCTTACTCCCAGTTCAGCCCTACTCACACAGTCCTTCAGGCATACTCCTGTTCAACCCTACTCTGTGTGGGGCCACCTACATCCCTGCCCTCTGAGGCCTTCACAACTGCCCTCTTTCTCCATGGCCACACAACTATCCCCGACCAGGGGCCTCTGGGGTCTTCCTCCCCTGCAGGCTCAGGTGGCCATAGCTGTGCCTGACCCCAAATACCCAAATTGTGGGGGCTAGGGGGTTAAGGTGCTATGACCCACCTTTCACCAGGGTGGTAAGTGGCCTAGCATTTCCTGGGGGGCTCCTGTGCCACTAGGAGCCCCACCAGATCACCCATTCCCAGGAGGGTACAGTTCTAGTTCATGCCCAGGACCAAGAGCCACCTGCTCTTACCTTCCTGCTGCAGCTCAGCCAGGCGATGTTTCCACCTGGGCTGTCCCTTGCTCTCAGAATGGCTGCCGCCATCAGGCACCTGCCAGCTGCCTGACTGCCCTTAAAGTGACAAGGCCTTCAGACATTAATACGTTAATGATAATTTCCAATATTATTAGTCAGACTCAGTTTAAGTGTAAATAAAGTTTCCTGAAGACATGCAACAAAAATGGTATTTTAAGATTCCAACTGCCCTTCCAATTCTCAACTATTGCCCTAGTGCACAAAAAGCTAAGGAGCTATTCCCCACCCTTAGCATTTTAACAGTTCTTCAGTAAAAGTCCATACATACCATCAAAGCTACCTTTCTCTGTGGCAAGTTGCAACAGCTCATTGTATGTTTCAATGGAAGGTCGATAAACAAAAACTCCAGAATTAAAACAGTCAGGCCAGCCTGGATCTGGTGCTGCAGATAGCTCTTCTCTCTCAAAAAGCTCATCAATGTTTGCCAAGACCTAGTTGTAGGAAAAATAAGACTCTTATCATTCCTAGGCTAGAATTTTGTAGCATTTCATCTTAGTGGAGTTACCAGTCATCCCAAGATACTGTATTTACTCAAATCCTATGTGAGGTTTTCCCCCCATTCAACATGGGGAAAAATAGCCCCTTGTCTTGGATTCAAGTACAAAGCAGGATAGGGGCTAGGGAATAGGTATCTGCTGCAGCTATTGCCTACACTTGGGGTTGAAGTTCAAGTTGCAGCTGCTGTCCCTGTGCAGACTGTTCCCTTTCCCACCCACACCCCTTCCACTTACTCTCAGTGGTGGCTCTGGTCCTCCTCTAACCTGGGCACAGAGCACAGGGTGTCTCCAGCTCCAGCCTAGCCAGGCAACAGTAGTGGTGGTAGTGGTGGTGGTGGTGAAGGCAGCTCCAGCCAGAGCTGCCACTGCCACAGCTACTGCTGCCTGACTGGCCAGGGGCTGGAGCCATTATCTGCTTCATGCCCCAGGCCAGAGCTGCAACTGAGGATATTTAAGGGGGGACAGGGCAAGGGGCAGGCTGCTTGACTCTTTGCTGCCTGATCCCCTGCTACTGTTTGCCTCTACTGCCGCTTTCCCTGCTTGCAGTGGTGGTGGGGGCTGGTAAGAATTTAAAAGACAACCCACCAATAATTAGATTCTACATATAACAAATTTATAACATTTTATATACCTGTCTCTAGAATCTACTTTTGGAGGCATCATCTTAAAGTCAAAGTTATCTTGACATCATATTTACTCAAATCCGTGACAAGCTTTCACCACAGGTCCTCTATCATAAGACAGTTATGTCCTAAGGAACATCCTTGTCACAGGGTCAATCACAAGTCATTAAACTTTTGCTGCCATTTACCAAATTATGGGCCCAATTATGGAAAGGCCCTCTTCTCTAGACAGAAGTATATGGCAACACACACCACACACAAACTTACCATTGTGTCTGCATCCATGAATACACATTTTGAATACTGAGTCAGTTCCCAGCAGTGGAGTTTTGTTAAGGTAATACCCAGTTCAGGTCTTTTCATTAGCGCTAGGTGAGCTGAATCCCCACTGTCCAAGATATCTACCAATATAACGTCATCGAATACCTTTTCCAGCACCTTCCTGTGGAAAGATTTAGTATTGTCTAAGCATTATTTCCATACCCAACCTGTGGACAGTGCTGTTTTTACCCAGTGCTGTATTAGGGAGCCAAAATGGCTTTGGCACAAACAAGTTACTGCAAGGTAAGCAAAACTAGGGAATTATAGCATGTCTGCTATTCCACCCTAATGACCCATTATCCACACTTACTGTAGTAGCTAAAAGCTAGTCTGTGGTAGCTTAGGCCACACTTACCATGAAAGGACTGAAGTAAAAATTCCTGCCCTCTTATCTTGCAGTCATTTGCTTGTGTATGCCCATGCCACTAGATCGGGTCTTGGGTATGATGTGCTCTTGGTACCATTTGAGGTGGACTTCAAGTTGCCCAGACAAAGTTCTTGTCCACCAAGCTTTTCTATTTTTAAAAAATCTAGTTACCAAAGCCTGCATTTCTGAAAGGGTCTGCAGTAATAACAGAACGCTCTTTCATGTATGTAGGTCAACTAAAGCTCATCTAGGTAGCCTGACTTTGCCAAAGGATTTGCATGAGCCGGACGCCAAGAACTAGTTATTGGTGAAGTGACAGATTTTGATTTGGACTTGATGATCTCACAAGGTCCCTTCCAGCCCTAAACTTATGTGAATCTGTGATCATACTACTAATTACTTACTGTTCCTTAGACGAGCTTGTGCAGTACAATGGACAGCAACTGAATCCTAACCACTGGCATGCCATAACTGCAGTACATAACCTTTAAAAGCTGGGGGGGGGGGGAAATCAGATGTAACAGTTGGTGATGGGTAGTCAGATAGTCATGGTTAACTGAAACTTAACTAAGTTCAGAAGAGATGAAGGTGAGTAATCATACTGTAGCTTGCTTCCCTTTGCTTACAGGTAAAATTTTGTAGAGTAGTTTTATATCTACTTTAAAGGCTGATATTCAAATAAGATAGTGACTGGACATGCACCAATAGGTTAAGAAAAAACCCCCCCAGAGACGCACAACATTAGGCTGAGATAGTAATATTGAAAGAAAGAGAGAAAAGAAAAAATAGGGTTTTTTCTCTTTATTTCAGGTCCCCTGACATTTTTATCTTATACTGGTGCTCTACGCTGAGCCAGCCATCTACAGCATCTTGAGCATGAACAACTTATCAGAGAATTGGGTTGTGTAGTAGTACATGCTAAGAACCATTTTGATTAGCCAAGTTTAGAATTTTACACACTTATTTCCCTTTGGGGGTTAATCGGTAACCAGCTATTTTCTACCTGGGAGGACTTTTACAATCTTTGAATTCTCCTCAGCCTGATGAAGGGTATATGTACCTAAAAGCTTGCAAAGAAAGGAATTTTTTTGCTACTGTTTAGTTGGTCTAAAAAAAGGTATCACCTCTGACCCAAGAGCTTTGTGTGAATCTTTCTCAGACCAATGCAGCTACAAAATTGATCCTTGGTAACCAACTGTTATTTTTATTATGGTATGATTATTGTTGAGCCTAATTGTGTTGCAACTGGAGAAAGATTGATACAAGTTCCACTCTTACAACTATCTATGCAAAATTCATTTTATGATGTTATTTATGCCTTCATTTCTGCCTTCCAAGAGAGGGCACTAGTTTAACAGGCTGGAGTAGATTCTTTTAAAACAGATGGCTGTTAATCTAATGAGTGAATGTTTTTGGCTACTAGATACAAGTATTCCATTTGGTCTTGAACAGCTGACCTGGTGAGAGTGTTCTACCACCAGGCTAGAATAGTTTGGGCAGGGGCCCTTATCCCTCTTGGTGGATGGACAACAACGGGTATCCAAGAATACAAGATTAATGGAGCCCATAGGAGAAAAAGGCTGCATGCTTCAACCCAGGGAAGAAGGAGCCTGGTTCTCTTCCCTGCTATAAGGTTAAACCACCTCCCCACCTAAGATGGTAAGTTGCCATGGGTGTGGTGCTTGGCTTCAGACCCCTACACTGAGTGGCTCACTGTAAGGTGCCACCCACTTGGCACATAGGTGTTATTTAGAATAGACTGTTATTTGGAAGCTACTTTCCCTACTGGCTGGATAAGTACATACCTTTGGAATTCACCTTTGAAAGTGATACTTATCCAGTGTCACAAAAAGTCAACAGAAGCAGGATATTTGACTTGGGTCTCCCAAGTACCAGGTTAGTGGTGTTGAGCTTCTGGACCATTGTCTCACTGCATTTTATTTCCTTATTTGACAGGGTAGGCATCAAGGGATTTTACTGCCCTGTGTGGAGTACTGACGAATCAGGACTTCCCACTTGCTCCTGATCAGCACATAGCAAATGCTGGAACCAATTCAACATTACTCTTAGATGGCTACTTAGGGCCCTCCTACACATTCAAATTAAAGCTGGACAGAAACTAACTATAGCATGGTTATGTATTTTCAAGTACTAACTTTATAGCTAGTTGGCCTTTTTATAGGTGGATAATCATTTTTATGGTGAAAATTACTTTGCACATGTGGCCAGTCTAAATTTATTGCACAATTAACCAGTTAATTGCATAATATATGTAATGTGTAGCAGGGGCCTTAGAGTGCACGTCAGTGACAGTCTTCCTTGAGTTGGTTTAGTTTTCCAACTAAAGTAGGAAGTGCAGAATTTCAAGGAGCCCCAGTTGGCATCTATTGCCCCAAGTGTTTTGTGTTAATCCAAACTTCCAAAGCAGGTGAGCAGTTTCAACTCCAAAATTAAGCAGTTTTCACAAGAAAGTAAAAATATTGAAATGACCTACCTCACTGGATCTGAAACTTGGGGAGTTACAAGCACAGTTAACTTCTTTGTTGTTCTGTAGTGTTGTAGAGATGAACCCAATACAAGTGCTCCTTTCACATAGGAATCATTTGTAGCCAGGGTTACAAAAGACTGATCTGGAAGAAAGAAATTATACTAGTATTCATAATAAGTTCAAATTAAATCTGCCACAACATTTCTGGCTAGTTATCTTGGGTAAGTAGCTGCATAATCATCTAAAGAGTAATTAAGTTAGTTATCATGGTTCAGTCAGTTGCAGAGAGCAACATATCAAACTAGAAGTTGAAACTTGCCATCAATTACCTGACTAGAATAATGGGCTAGTTAATAGATAGTCCTAGATTTGAGTAGGAAGCATATTCCATGTTGTGTGGAGAAAATCCTACTTGTTTATTTATTTATTTGCAATTTGGACCTAAAAATGGAGTTGTATCATTATTAACTAAACTTCTCCTCAATCAAAAGAAACCTCTAGAACCGCGATTCTCAACCAAAGTGCCAGGGCCCCCCTGGGTACTGCCAGACCCTTTGAAAGGAGCCATGAGGTATGAGGGGATAAGTAGATAATTTAAGCAGGGAAGCACAGGCTCAAGCTTGCCCCTGCTTGAATGATTTCCCAGCTCCACTGCCTAGCCTGCAAGGAGGTAAGCACTATAATATAAAAATTAGTTTTTTGAGATTAAATACTACTCAATTCACAGAAGCTATAGAGATGTCTTGAGTCCAAAAAGGTTGGAAGCCACCTGACCAAACTTTTGGTAGTTAGCTGCATATTTAAGGCTTTTTTACTGCAGGCTTGCCAAAAAGGAGTCCGACTCCAAAGCTGAAGTAATAAGCCACTGAGGTGTTCAAATTTCATATTTTATCCACATTAGGTACAGATTAACAATTAGATGTTTTATTTTTACAGTAGACTTGAGACATTTAATTGATTTAGATGAGGGCTGTCCAACTGGTGGCCTGCAGGCTTCAGCCCCCTCACTCCCCCCAGCTCTGGTTTTGGCTGCACATCCCCTCCCTCGGGAGGCAGGGCAGGGCATTGGTGAGGAGAGGAGGTGTGTGCAATGCAACAGTGCAAGGGAGGGGGGCCTTTGCATTCATGTGGCTTTGGGGGCAGGGGGTATGCCTCTGGCTCACCCTGGTGCAGCCCACTGCCACCTGGACAATCCAAATTTAGATGCCAACAGTGTTACAGAGTGGACTTCTCAAGAGCCAAGTTAGTTGCGTAGCAGGTTTGCCATTGTAAATAAGAGAATGCAAGCTTTTAAATGTAAAGGGTTATATTAGCTCTGATCCAACAATAGGTAATGAAGTGAATTACAACCTCCTTTGTGATGTGGCCAATGGTTTTCACTGTTACATTTAGCACTGTTCACAATAAGTACAAGATAAATAGCTTTGCTGAGAATTCCTTTTACTGAAACTTTTCACTGTAAGTAGTAAAACTCAAAGAAACTCAAAGTTTCAAACTTTGAGCATTGTTTTACTTCCAGAAGCTTTAATTATGTTAATGTTGGCTCATTCTTACTACTACACAGATGTGCTTGAGGTCCATTTACTAAAATGACCATTTCAGGGTGACATCACAAGCAGGATAGACCCTAGGCAAGACAAACTGAAGTAATCTTAAGTAGATTTCCTTCAAAAATGCACCCCTTTAAAGGTCTAAAGTAACCAAAAAGTTACTATTACATAGGAAAAGCTACACTTTTCTATGAAGTTACTAAGATGCTAAGTACTTGAATTAATAAGGAGTAATTCAGAGCATGAGGTATAATTCAGTTACTAGTGCCCGGAAGTCAAATTACAGAGGATTCATAGCTGTGTCCAGAGAGTTGTCGGATTACTGATTATTCTTATTTATAAGCAGCAAACAATTCTCTGCCTGTTACCAGCTTCAACAACTAGTAGCACCAATACTGAACAACAGCTCCAGCAGTCATGCACCATTTTTCAGAGCCATGCATGTCATTTTTGCCCTTCAAACACCAGTCTGAACACAAGCTGTAGGAACTTCAGCTACCTAGTGCATCTTAAGCAAGGTAAGCGTTCTCTTACTACAGAACACTTAAGTTCTTCTTACCAGCTTCAGAAGTTGCACCTCCTATGTTCCCAAAGAATATAGTTTAACTTTAGCTTTGGCAGATAAAATATTTTTTAGGGTTTATAAAACTCACCGAACGGCTAGTGTGCTGCACATAAACACAGAGGGATTGTGCTCACAGTAATGTCCTTTGACCCTTAAAATCTCCCCCCCCCCACCAGCTGCTTTCTAGACTGTATGGCACTGGCAGTAGCCTCACTGCTAACAGACTAGCCTTGTTCCTTAAGATTTTAAGATGCTTGTGTGGTCCCTGACCATTTCTTGCCTGACTTTGAAAACTGCATATTTGAGTTCTACACACCTATGTTTACTAGTGCTGTACCAACAAGTAATACAGGAAGTTCTTAAATTAGCTAAACTCCCTCTTCTGTAGCAGTTTATAATCCAAATAAACTTAAATTTGTGTTGAGAACAACCAACAGAGCAGGCAAGGGATGGCTAGAAACATGTTGAGCCCCTCAACTGCTGCATTAAAGGGAATGAAATTGTAATATGCAGAACAGCAGTTTTGTTTTATTCAGATAGCCCTTTAAGAAGAGGATCATATTTGACTAAGCCAAGTCCATATAGCATGAAAGACAACTTGATAGCAAGTATGAGGGCGTTTTCCCCATTAAATATAAATCCTGCTTATGCAGAACCAACTCAAAACCTAGTTCATGCTTAAGCACAAAATGTGAGAGTATCAGGCAATTTCCTGTTCAGTTCTAAATACAGCTACATATAGCTAAGCAAGTTGTTCCTCCTCTCTTGACTGAGAGCCAGAAGTCTTATAGTCTTCCCCATTTCAGTCCATATCATCTTTCCACCAGTGCAAATTGTAAGGGAAACAGTAAGAAGAGTGTTGAAATGTTCAAGTTGGCTTTAAATTAGCTTGTTCAAAGCTGGCTCATGCGAGTAGGTTGTAGTCAGAAGTTTATAGATAGCTTGAGTCTCCCACCTGTTATTTTTTTTCTACCTAGCAGCAATATGTTCCTGCTCAGGTTGTGGTTACAACACCTCAACATGACTGCCCTTTGTACTAGGGCTTCACCAAAATATTATAAAGAAACATAGATCTGACTAACAAGTCACTTGCATCACTTTACTGATTAGTCCTTGAGAGTGCAATAAATTCTTAGCTAGTATATAACTGAGGGGCTGACTAGTTGTTAGCAGTAGGGACAGGGCCATAGCACCTTCTGACAACCAGTCCTCCCATATAATGTCTGAGGCCACTATGTTCTCCCTTCCCTGCAGTCCTGCATACTTTCCAATTTTGTGCTGGAGAGCTGCAGACTCCACGTTTGCATTATACTATCAGGGGAAAATGGAAGAAAACTTGCATTTGATGACAGCTATTACCAATCTGTACATTAAATTGAGGCACAGCAGCCTTAAGAACCTGAAAATGAAACTAAGTTCACTGCCTGGCCTGCCCAAGAGAAATAGAACGAGGAAACATGCCAGAGGATGTGTAGCCACAGGCAGTAGGTCCATGCATCCCCCCCGCCCCCGCAACACCGTCAGCCAGTCTGGCACCCGGTTTGAGTTAGCAAGGTTTGCCTAGAGCCTGGGGACCCCCACATGTTGCTTCAGCCCTGCTTAAAGGCTTTTCAGGCGCCCGGAGCTAGGCGGCTGACAGCTGTCTCCCCTTATAGTAGAGAAAGAGAAAAAGGGGGCTTCTGGACGTCACCCTCAGAGCTGCCAGGTCCCCGTTGGCCAGGGCGGCCGCAGAGCCTGCGGGGGCGGCGCTCGGATGGGGCAGCCGGGCTGGAACTCAGCGCCTCGCAGGCCAGCCCGAGCCGCTCCGCCCGCTCAAGGGCTCGACGCGCCTCTGCCCTGGCCCCGGCACAGCCCTGCAGCCAGGAGGGCGAGGGCCGTGCAGAGCGGGGGACGCTTGGGGCCGGAGCCAGGCCCGACTGCTCCCGAGGGGAGCGGCGGGAGGCCGAGCCCAGCGCGCAGAGCGCGGGGAAGGAAGCGGAGGCGCGGGCGGGCACAGGTCAGCCGGGGAGGCAGGAAGCGGAGCTCGGTGCCTGCCGCGGCCAGCCTAAAAATAGGAGCCGCCATAAGCGAGCGAGCAGCTGGGGGCAGCCCGACCGGGCCCGCTGCACTCCGCCAGCTGCTCCTCCAGGTCAGCCGGCCCCAGGGCAGTGCCGGGCTCGGGACGGGGCAGGGCACAGCTCCTCTCCCCGGCGCGGTCGGGCCGGGCCGGGCCCTCTTACCTGCCATGTTGCCGCCGGCCGAGCCAGATGCTGCTGCCGCTCTTAGCGAGCGCCCGGCTAGAGCCGCCCCTTATAAGCGGGCGGGCGGAGCTACGTGGGGCACGTAAGCACCCGGGCCGCCGCTGCCACCTGCTCCTGCCGCTGGTCGACTGGGCGAGGCGGCGCTGGGGCAGCTCCGGCCCCG